GCTCTTTCATTTTGTTGGATCAATAGCTCCATCTAGTGCTCAAAAAATGAAGGGATTTAATTAATAGGAACTTGAGCTCCTTAGAAATAAAAGAAGGGAATACTTGTGTACTTTGCTCTCCTTTTTAAGAGTGAAGTCCTTAGTCCTTGGGAGCTGGCTCAGAGCTCGTCTGTCTGTATGTGTGTCTCCTTGATGTGGCCGCCTGTGGAGCTTCTGGACAGTTGCCTTTTTTTTCCCTGCTTCTTTCTGTATGTCTGCTTCTGTCTCCTTGAACCCCAGTTGGCCTCAGCAGATGTCCGCTCACACTGAGCCTGGTTCTGCTGGAGGATCCTTCCTGTTAAAAGGGAGTTTTTCCTTTCCACTGTCGCTACAAGCATGCTTGGTGTGAAGGATTGCGTTCGAGTCAATGAGTCAACGCAATCAACTCGTTTTCCTTGGATAGAAAACTATTAATAAATCTGACTGTATGATCTGGTTGAATTGTAAAGTGCCTTGAGATGACATGTGTTGACAATTGGCACTGTATAAATAAACTGAATTGGATTGAGTTGAAGTCCAGAGGGGCAAGATAGCAAAATATGTCTTTCCAAGTTAGAGACATGCACTTTCAGCTGATTTGCATATTATCAGCAAAACAGTTTTTACCTGCTGTTACGTACATTTTACACAATTGCATTAATTTGTAACTGCTATTTAGATCAGTTTTGCATGTGCTGACAAGTTTGCATATCTTTTTACATGCACAAACCTACATTTACATCTTATCTCCAAACATGGTAATGGCAGCATTATATGTTGGAAACTATTTTTTAACATATATAAGCCTTATATAATCTGTCCTTGACATCTATATATTTTTTTGTTACCCCATTTTAATAAGAGACATACCAGTGCTAATTTAGAATCCTTAAATGTATCATTTTTTTTGAAGTACAAGCTATGATTTTATGGGATTGTGGAGATGTTCAATCATGTCACTGGCAGATTAATCATTTTGCCCTGCATGCGTCATGGAAGGTCAGCAGGAAATCTGTTCTACTGAGATTCATCTTCTGGACTTTTTTCTTAGTTTGCATTGAGCTGCATGCAAAAAGAGATATCTTGAGCTCTACTTTAGCCCACAAGAATTCCTGAATTTGAATCTTTTTTCTCTCAAGTGTTTCTATATGGAATATGAATAATTGTGATGAAGTTTTTATATAGAATATACATGCTTTCCTTGTATGGAGTGTCTCACCCTGTGTCTCTCCTAGTGTAAAAGCAGCAGGTATAGAAAATGTATGAATGAACAGGCAATCTATCCAATTATTCCTGAGACACATCTACTGATGGACCACATGGTGGCGCTTTAGGAAAACATTAGAACATTGTGAAAGAGAAAGTCAAGATAGTTCTTTTCTGATATGTCCATAATCCAGAAAGACAAGTTCCAAAACAAAACAAATAGCCATATAACATGAAGTTCCTATAAACATGGGCTGGACTTTTATGGATAAAATCTTAGAGATTCATTTTTTTGTGTCTTTATAGTAACATTATTTGAGCCTATACCATCAAAGGATTTTTCAATTTAGATTTATTGTTGAGCATTATTTTGATCTTAAAAATAAGTCCTTTTCGGTAGGATATCTCTTCTAATATATCCGTCGACCGTGCATGTATATTTAAAAAGATATCAAAATAAAAAGATCTAATAAGCGTCAAATATGTGTATTTCTGAAATTGCAAGCTTAGCTTATCTGTGGCCTTTCTTCTGACTGAGCACAAAGCACATGGCTCTGAGCAGTTTTTGGAATAGTCTTTGAATCTGTGATGTTGTAAGTTGTAGTGTTCTGAAAAAGTGAAGAGATTTTTTATTGTTTGATGACCAACCAGTCATGCTAAGTGCTCTTACGCACTGATCCTACTGTTGGTCTCTGAGCAACAAACAGTAGGTGTGTCTGGGATTACATTTTCCTAAAGCAAGCAAATGAAAAGCTTTTCTATTTTAGCTTATAACATATTAAAATATTCTATAATGCATTATAAAATATTCAATCAATGCTTTCATTGAAATTGAATTCAAGCACACATTGAGTCATCATGTCAAATCAAATGTGGAATGAAATGAGCAGAGATAACAAGGTCAAAGTACTCTAAGTACTGCAAACACCAATTTGGTTTTGGTGAGATTACTTGCTAGTACATATAACTATTATGACTGCGTGCTGTGGAAAAGTTTTTACATTTTTAACATTGTTTCACTTTACAAACCAGAAATGTCTATCATTTTTGAGTCTATCAGTTTTTGATCAAGATTCAGTCTGAAAGAACAACAGATTACAGTCTATGTTATAAATCTTTCTTTTTTTTTTCTTTGTGGGGGGGAGACGAATCTCTGGCAAAGTCTGTAGTGTAATGGAGTTTCCATCCCCCTTGGTGTTTAATCAATTAACAGGTTCAGTGACAGCTGATTTACAAAGTTATCTAAACATTATTAAATTATTTGTGTAGTGAAAGACAGAGACTCTTGTTAAGGACTGGTCTGATAATGATGACTATTTGTCAAACAAGAAGCAGAAGTAAATGAGTGTTTAAGACTTTAAAACATCTTTCAGCATCTTCACCTGCTGCTTATGTGTCTTAGCATAATTAGCTCCACTTTCAGTCTCTGCTGGTTGTTTTTTAACGCTGTGAAGTCACTTCAAATTCACACTTAAGGATAAAATGTGTCATTCAAGTTAAAGGGAGTAGAAGAGTTTGGACTTAGCAGTAAAGAGGCAATCAAATCAATTAGGAACCTATTAGCCAATCAGGCGCTTTAATCCAGCAATCTGAAAACAGCCTATTGCTCTGGTGTACACAGGATGTAACACAACCAATGCTAGACAGGATATATGAGTTTTCTGTCATTTTCTTAAATATAATTTTTTACACTTATGATTTTTCAGGATAATGGTGTAGAAAAACTATTATGATTTGAAATATATGTGTGAAAGAAACCTATGTTTAGCATTAAGCATGGCAATAATACCTATTTAAGAACATATTTAAAAATACATACACTACTGTTCAAAAGTTTGGTGTCACATTGAAATGTCCTTATTTTTGAAGGAAAAGCACTGTACTTTTCAATGAAGATAACTTTAAACTAGTCTTAACTTTAAAGAAATACACTCTATACATTGCTAATGTGGAAAATTACTATTCTAGCTGCAAATGTCTGGTTTTTGGTGCAATATCTACATAGGTGTATAGAGGCCCATTTCCAGCAACTATCACTCCAACGCTAAACGCTAAAATGGCCAGAAAAAGAGAACTTTCATCTGAAACTCGACAGTCTATTCTTGTTCTTAGAAATAAGGCTATTCCACGCGAGAAATTGAAGATTTCCTTCAACGGTGTGTACTACTCCCTTCAGAGGACAGCTCCTTCCATGTGCGGAGGCCTTGGCCCTCGGTGTGGCCGACCCGGGTTCAGGTCTGGCCTTTGGTCCTTTCCCACATGTCTCTCCCCCTCTCTCATACCGCCTTTCCTGTCACGCTGTTATTTGAAAAAACGAGCCACTAGTGCTGTAAAAAAAACAAAAAACAAAACATTAGCTGCTGCCAGTCCTCTTAGTCATTCTTCTAGCATGCAAGAACCCAGCTGATTCTTTATTAGTTTGAGCTTGGAAAGGCTATGTGCAGGCCATCCTCAGAGCTCCCTAAAGATGTAGGTAAAACACAAATTTTATAGAGGTAAAAAATTCAAATGGGGCCTAATGTACATCAGGGACTTTTCCATCTATGTAGCCAATAAACTTCTATCACTGTCAGACTGTTCTCCAAAGATATGATGCAAATATTAAAAGCATGTCCAGGATGCTGGTACTGTACCCTCCTTTGGGGTGTAATCAGCCATCTTGGAATTTCTGAAACTGTTGGGTGACATGTCTTATTATCATTAACTCACATAGAAAATGGATATGTTGGATGTACGGTTGTATCCAATGCAAACCAATGGTGTTTAAAAAGACATCATACATAGTAATTATATCTTGTGGTGACTGAATATTTTGATACCCCTGTTCTTCCTTGTGGGGAAATCAAAGTGCCATGACATTTCTGTAATCCCCTATTTCCTTTTATCCTTCTCTTTGTCTTATAACAAAGAAAAAATGTTTTTGGTATGATCTTTATTGAGGTCAAACAAGATGAATATCGTGAGATTTGTGAATTCACAAACATCCAAAAATACATCTTGCCAGAAGCAAAAATACTTTGGCTTTACAAAATGATACAAAAATGTATCAAGACCCATGTAGATACGGGTGATTATATATAATGTCCATTCATCAATCAATCCATCCATCTTCTACCCCTTAGCCCTGTCATGGTCACAGTGGGGCTCCAGCAGTCTATGGGCGAGATGCGGGGACAGGTCACCAGTTTGTCGCAGGGCTGCACAAGGACACATGAAGTCACACAACCATGAACACACACTCACACCTAAGGACAATTAAGAGAGGTCAATTAACCTAACAGTCATGCTTTTGGACTATGGGAGAAAAACGGAATACCCGGAGAGAAACAACGCATCCATGGGGAGAACATGCAAAATAGTCTATCTTTTTCCCAACATGTATTGACAAAAAGATCCCTCTGATGCTTTGCAGGCTTACCCAAGAACACAGCTATTGTTATGCAATAAAGAGAATGTCAAGAGCTAAAGAGACACTTTAAAAAGTGGCAGGTCTATAACGATTCCTATTTCTAATAAATTCCATAGATATAAGTGGATTAGTACGCCTGAGAATAGAAAAAGTTCTTCAATCATGAATCGTTTCATTTATCAACATTCCTAAGAACCAGAATTTCAGTCGTATCGTTATATTACATCTAGTGTAAAATTTAAAGACACCTTGAAATATTTGCTATTTTGACTGATGCTGCAGTTTCTTTCAATTTTCAGTTAAATGTGGAGGATGGGAAAACGATACAAATAGTAACCAGAGAAGACAAATAAAAAAGAATTTCACAAATGCTGTTTATTTTAAAAACGTACAAAACAGGTTAAAAACATGTCACAATCTTCCCATACAGTCGCTGCACAGTAAAGTGCAGTACAAATTATGAAAAAGGAAATGTTTCTGTGGTCAAATTTAAGCAGAAGAGCTGCAAAATAGGGCTTGCAACCACAACTGCAAGGTTGGCTCTTTGTTAACAAAAGGGAACTGCAAACACTTCAACACACTGGTATCTGTGCAAAGTTCGTGGACAGATAGAAGTGTTGGAAATCCTTTTTCTTTTTTTTTGCCTTTGGACAGTGTTTGGTTTCCAGCACCTTAAAGATATATCCAGTTTGAGCAAACCTGCCCCAGCTTTTTTTTCTTTACAACAGTAAATAAATTATCTGATTATGAAAGCATCTGTCCTGGGACAGCTTTGCAGACAGTCAGACGTCATCCTGTGCAAAACCGCAGACAACATCCGTTTTTTCTCTTGTGTCATGAAAAAAATTTTCAAATCTTATCCCATTTCATCTTGTGATGTTCTAGAAAATGCTGAGCTTTAGTTGCCATCTCAAAAAAATAAACAATAGTTTTTACATTTTGTAACATAAACCAGTAATGTTTTTGAATCTATAAAACCAAAAATTTTATCAGTTGCCTTTTTCAAGTTTTTTCATTGAAAATTTCTGCACTTAGAAATGCTTGTTTACTTAACATTAACTAATATCCTAAAACTCTTAGTTTGAAGTCAAACATGAAAGTCACAATCACTCAGAAATATCCATCCATCTTTTCTCTCTTACTCTATCAGGGTCACAGTGGGGCTGGTGCCTATCTCCAGCAGTCTAGGCAACATGCAAACTCCATGCAGAAAGACCCCGGGCTAGAAATCAAACCTGTGAACTTCTTTTTGCAAGGAAACAGCACTAAAAACTGCATTACCGTGCAATAATAATAAGGCACAATACAAAAACAAAGACAAATAATTCATTAAAATCAATACAATCTCAACAGCACAGCAAGTAAAAAATGTTTAACTCATAATAGACTTTATAAAAAAAATAAAAACAAAACTAAGACACTGTAAACCTTTTCAAATCTAAAGCATTTTCTTTTGTACACATTTCCTACTTTTTTTAACTTTTCCTGCTGGTCCTTCTAGTTTCAGTCTTTCAGTATTCTGGTCCAGGTTTTAGTGCATGCCTTTCCGGCCAGAGAGATGGATCTGACTTCTTCCCTGACTTGCAGATTTTTACCAGAAGAATTGTTATGATGCAGAGCAAGATGATGACAGTTACTGCAAATATTGCAATCCAAGTATTAGCCATGCATTCTGAACCAGCCAGAGCTTTGGCATCCCCTGTAAAAAAAAAAAAAAGGTAATAAAAAACATGTTTCAACATAAGTGATTGCAACATCCCTAAAGAGGAAAGTAGCTGGAAGGTGAAGAGAGCTTACCTTCAGCACCAACAGTTATGTTCATTTTACCAGACCTTTCCACTGCAAGTTTTCTCCACCCATAAGCAAGAGAGTAAACCCACTCTTCTACTTCACAGAAATACAAGCCACTGTTTTTAGGCTTAGTATTTGAAACTTTAAGGTTGAATTGACCAGGTAGGGGGTGGCCATACATCACAGCAACATCCTTAATGCCAACTTGTAAGGTTGAATTTCTGTAAGCTGTAAACATGGGTGTAGCTTCAGTGCCTCTCTGCCAAAACCATTTGACCTGGAACTGGGAGTCATTGCTGGATTGTTGGGTGATATGGCAGGGAATGGAAAATTCCTCTGCAATGCTTATATTCTTCACTGTCTCTATGTTTTGAATGGACAATTGTGCTTCTGTAAAAAAATAAAAAACACACAAATACATACAAAATTTAAAAAAAACTGAAACATGGGATTCAACAACATCTGAATGAGGCAAAGAATCAATAAGCAAAACTTAACAAGCTAGAGAAAAAGGCAAATATGGAAATTAACAGAAATAAGTGCAACAGAAGATATGGTAAAGGAGAAAATAAACGTAAAATAATAAGGGGCAGTGAGCAGATCTTGCTTTTATTAGGATAACAATACAAAGACAGAAAGTGTTAGGTGCAAGGGTAAGAAAAAAAGCTGCCATCCTGCAGACACCAACTGCACTTATAACATGACAAATTAGGGGATGACACTTACTACTTTGGCTTTGAGAACTTTATCATAACCTAGACATATAGCCATTATGTATTTCTAGAGAACAGAGCTAATGTCTCTATTATCTAGCTAAATGTATTAACATATTCCAGGAAAAATCCACACTAGCTTAAAAACAACCCAAATCACATTAAATTGTTGCATGCATTTGTATACAGCTCTTTTTTCTTCAAAACCACTATGTATATTTTTCTAAACTGCTTCATTCGAATCAACTAACTAATTTCAAATATTTCCAGCCAGACCTGGATCAACCTAAGTTGACATGACAAGGTGAACATTAATCAGAGCAGAAGCCAAGAAGCCCAGCTCAGAAAGAGCTGCAGACATCCGTAGCTTATGTGGGAGAATCCCTTATTAGCTTAGCATCTTACAAACTGGGAATTTAGGAGGAGTCTCCACGGGAAATCAGTCAGTAGAAATCTAGAGGTAGGTGTTGAAGTCTGATTAGGGCAAAATGCAACTTTTTATGCAAAATGCTGTGACAGAAAACTACAACTGCACATCACACTGAGCACACCCTCTTCACTGTGAAACATTGTAGTGGCAGCATCAAGCTGAGGGAATCATGTTATTCAGCAGTCATGTAGAAATGCAAAAAAAGATAAATGGGAAATTGAATTCAGGTAAATTCAGATAAATTCTGGAAAGAAACCGGAAAAACACTGTAAAAGACTTGGGTGGATATTCTTCTACAGTCCCTAACAATTAGACATAGCAATTAAAGAATGTCTTAGGTAAGATATTATTAGAAAGACCAAGACTTAATCTCAATAGGGATCTTTGGCACATAGTAAGAAAGTAGATTTACAGTTACTTCTAATATGTTTGTACTTAAACTAATTTAAAGAAATGTATAAAGCTATGAATATGGATTTTTCGGGGGTAAGGAGTTTTTATCTAATATAAGGCAAATAGCTAGGAAAAGACAGAAGCAAAACTGAAAAGACATTCAAATCAAGCATTATATGATAATGTTAATCAAAATGAGAATTTTTCAATGAAAAAAAAAAAAGAAATTTACCAGGCTCAGTAACGTCTAGGGTTGTGTTTGAATTTTTTTCTGAGAGTAAATACCACTCTCCCAGTGGATTTTGTAGATACTCAGCCACGTTGCACACATAAACTCCTTTGTCTGACATTCTGGCTTGTCTGATAGTTAGCTCAAAGTTAGGGCCCGAAGTGCGGCTCATGCTGATGCGTTGCTGGTGACTCTCCTCAATCTCTGGCCCAAAAGTAACGAGAGCATTTTGATCTGAGCTCAAAATTCTTTTACTTCCAGTTTCTTGTTGGAGGTCCCAGGTGACGGCATATAGAGAAGACTTAGATGTTGCTGAGGTAACTTTACAAACAATTTGTATATCAGTGTTGATGCGTTGCATAATGGTTGGCTTAGATGATAGGGCAAGCTTGCTTTCTATAAGAGGGAGAGAAAAATATGTAATAAAAAGTCAACTGTAGAAAGAATAATAGAAAATAAGTAAAATAGCGTTATGTAGCATGTCAAATATCTGCATTACCTGGATTATTGACTTGCACCTTCAGGGGGTTGGATGGAAGAAGCTTTTTGTATACATTATCCAGGAAAACTGACACCCTACACTGGTAAGTTCCTGCCTCCTTGTGGCTTGCACCAAGGATTTTAAGATAGTACATGACAGAGTCCCTTTGTTTGTTCACCTCCACTTGGTAACGGTGCTGGTTTCCGGACCAGCTGATGGAACCATTTGACAAAACCAGGATGGTATTTAAGTTGGAGTCATCTGTCTGTTGACTCCAAGTCAGAGTAATTGGCATACTTGGAATTTCAAAAACCTTGCACATTAAATCTAAGTTCTTTCCTACAGTCACGGTGGGTTCTCGACTCTTCAGTGACGCTTTGACCAGGGTCTCTAAAATAGCAAGAAAAAGCATATTTACATTAAGTTCATTGTTTTTTTAGACCAATACTTCAGGATTTTTCATTTCACTTTAATGTAAAAAAGCTTCTGATTCAGCTGATTTTGTGTGTGACCAGCTGCCTTGAGTTGTTATGAAATGTTTCTGCGTATTATTCAGAAAGCTAATGTCCTCTTTCTTTTCCTCAGCCTTTAGGCATGGCTCATGATTTGTAAAAAGCTAAGTTATACTCTTTAACTTCCAGGAAACCTAATTAGATGCCTTTGATTGGTACACTGCAAAAAATTTTAAGCTCAGTAAGTATTTTTTTTCTTAAAATAAGTGCATTTTTTCTTGTATTAAGGAGACAAGTAAGACACTTTACCAATGGAACAAGACAATTTACTAATGAAATGAGAAAAAAAAATGCATCATCTTATTTCAAGTGCATGATATCTAATTATCTTATAATAAGAGTAAAAATACTCATTCCATTGGCAAATCATCTTATTTACCTGCTTAAATTAAGAGTAAATACACTTAATTTAAGACATTTTTACTCATTTTTAGATCATTTTTGCAGTGCATTATCGGCGGTCAAGACAAAAATACAATGTTTTAAAAAATATGTCTCAATCTTTGCACATGGCTTTCTTTTTTAACCAACTGTGGTCAATCTTTTTATAATCGCTATGGGTTCTTTAGCTCCCTTCTCGTAATGCAGTTTGGGGTAAAATTCATGTTGTCCATCTCTCTGCTTCCTTGGCCAATCCTTTTAATTTCTCCCCATCCAGAGACAAACTGCTAATCACATCCCTAGCCAATCAGTGAATAGCTGTTTATTCATGTGACATTGGTGCTCTGTTTGCCTCTGTTGAGCCCTGCTTCAGAGCAGATACCAAAACATAGGACACAACCAAAGTGCATTTGAAACTTCTGTTAAAATTGTGAGAACTAGGTCAGAGAAATTTTCCTCTGTGTAACACTGTATTTTTTTTTTCTAAACAGGAAGCTAGAGATTATTAGACAAAGGGTACTAAACACTGATAAACTGCCAATGCAAATTAAAAATCCCCAAATATTTTAGTTCCTTCTTTTTGGTATTATTGGGTTAATAATCATTTTTGTGACATGCATTTAAGATTTGCTTCCAAAAATAAATCAACCGATATTTGTTGAAAGTAGTATTTGTTGAAAGGGTATTATGCCTTTAATATACTCAACTACAATTGGAAAAAAATCAGTAGGTTAAACACTAAACAAACATGCATATCTTACCAATAGGAGTCACAGTCACATTGGCACGTTGAGAGTGGCTTTGAGTTTTGCCGTTGGTTTGCGTTTCAGTGACAACACACTCGTAGATACCTGAATCAAACGGTCTCGCTTCATCCATCTCAAAGACAAAGCTTTGTGTTGCTGGACGTGTCACTCTCACCTTACGAGTCGCAAAAGCTTCTGTTTTTTCTATGACACCATTCTGACTCAGACTGATGATGCTGGTGAATAAAGGGGACTGCGTCTGCATGAGCTTGCGTTGCCAGGAGACAGAGAGCTGGCCTTTGATCCCCTCCACGTTACAGATGAGGCTCAGTTTCTGTCCTTCGGAAACTTTTTGCTTCAAGTTTAGCATTTTGACTGAAAGCCCACTTTCTGTAAGCAGATAAGTCAGAAGACATTAATGGGTTTGACAAGATGATCATAGAAGGCAAAATGTTATCAAAATTATTATCAGTTACCTCTAATCATCACAGATCTTTCTTACAAAAGTATTCATCACCCCTGAACAATTTTGAATTTTAAAGCGAATCATTTACTTAATCAAATTAGGTTTCATATAATTGAACTGCACATAGTAAAAGGCGTTTATTAATTGAAAGGAAAACAATATGGTTTTAAAATCTTGAAAATAATTTTTTTTACTGTAAGTCTGGAAGGTTATAGTCATACCAACTTTGCACATCTACTGACTGCAATTTTTGTCTTTTTTGCAAAATAACTGCAATAAATAACAGAGAATCTGAGAGTAAGGCCATTCTTAACTCTTGCCACAATTTTCTTACATCAGATTTCGATCTGGACTCTGAATAAGCCACCGTGTTTGGCTTTGTGTCTAGAGCGGTTAACCTACTGGATCCAGAACCCTTGCTCCAGTTTTAAGTAACTTTAAAACAACAACTTTAAAATGTCAGTGGTAGTCTAATCTGACCAGAGCACTCTTTGTTACATGTTTACTATGCTTTTTGTATGTAGGGGAATAGAGTTAACTGGACAAGCAAACCACTTAAGATTTCTTTTTGTAAAAACAGAATATTTGAAACCATGCATCCACTTTAAAATCGACTATTGCATTGTATTCCAATGTAAATAAACACAATAATTTATTAAAGTAAGTTGTTTTATGCAAGAAAAGTACAGTGTGAAAGGGTGTGAATACATTTGTAAGTCACTATAGGAATTTGTAATCATATACTGTACTGTAAAGTTGTATTTAAGACGGTGTGTGTGCATTTTCCATGAACCTGGAGTTGAGATTGTGATATCCAGTGGTTGGGAGTTCTGAGCTGCTCCTTGTTGAAAGTTTCCGTCCTCACTCCTCTCTTCCGACCATGCCCTGCAGATATAACTCCCTCCATCTGTAGTTTTCACAGGCTGTACTTTGAGTTGGTAGTGTCCGTTCCCAATCCGGGTCACTCTTAATTCCCCATCTCTCTCTCTGTCACTGTATTCCTCACTCACAGTCAGAATGCCTGTAGGGCCAATCCGTGCCAGCTCATATTCTTTCCACACCCATGCTACAGAAAAGAACCGTGTGGCGAGGTTCTGTGCGTTGATCCTGCAGGTCAGTGTAAGTACCTGCCCCTCCTGCAGTGCGTTCTGTGCAGAAAGACTCACATCCAAAGATGACGTGTCTGTAACCACTATGTAGAGTAAAAGAAAAAATATACCAAGTACTTCTTGTCAATAATCCACAAAAGTGTGCTAATTTCACAACATGCCATCTAATTCAGTGCCTCATATAAGTAATTTAAATTATTGTTTCCTCTTACCTTTAGCTTTGACTGTAAGAGATATTTCCTCTGCATCCTTTTGAGCGATCCTGTACCAGGAACGATCAGGATCTTGAATCCACTCCTGGGCTTGGCAGTAAATTTTACCCTGGTCTGAGAGCTCCAGCTCAGCTATCTTAAGCGTGTATGTGGCCTCCCCTATTTTATCTAACCTGATGGCTTTGTTTCTGTAGCGTTGCTCAAAGCCCTGACCAGGAGTAAGCTGGAAATCTTTATCCAAAGAAATGATAGGTTCAGCATCTTCGGCCCCATCTTTACGGAGATACCAGCCGAGAGACAGATGGACGTGCTGGATGGTGTTGGTGGAGGCATGGCAGGTTAAAGTGAGAGCTTCTCCTTCGGTAAAACTCAATGAGGAAGGAGAGTCGCTAGATGCAACACTTAAGGAGTTGTCAATCACTGTGGAAATGAAAGAAGGTAAAGATTGCAGCTTTTAAATTTTATAAGCATACCTCAATAAGCATATAAAATGATAATCAGTTACCTTTAACAACTGATTTTGCAGTGTAGGATCCAATAAGTGGACTTCCTGGATCTAGTACGGTGCATTCATATTCCCCATCATCCTCCTTGAGTAAGTTTTTTATTTCAAATACGATTGAGCATGGACCAGAGCGTATGAGGTTAATATCATTTCTCTCGATGCGACGCATAAAACGATTATAACTAAAATGTTCATCTGAGGAGCTAATAACATTCATCTCTCTTCCAGGGATGCCAGTTAGCTTCGTGCGGATTTCAAAACCTTTTTCAGAATTGGGGTTGGAGAAGCCACTGGCATTGCAGAACATGGAGAGCCGAGAGCCAACAACACGATACAGAGGTCCAGTCTGGATCTCAGTCGTCACTTTGGCCTCTGTGTGGCAAAGGAGACAAAACACAGATGGTAATGGATAACAGCTGATAAAAGGTTTACCATAGCTTAGATGTTATGCAACGATGATACCTTTTAGTAATATATACATTTAACATGCAGAGAAGACAAGGTAAAAACATCCTTTGGATTTTTTAATAATGGTGAAGTAAAAATAGTATGATTCAGGTTTTTGGAAAATATATCTTGAAAATTGTTTGTTTTATTTGCCCCTTGACTCTAACACCATGAAATCTAGCAACTGTCCTTTTTAGGAAAGAATAATCTTTGCAGTATTTGACTTTAGTTGAAATATATCTGTTCTGTAGAAGCATCATTGGTTTGGAAGAGAACATGATAGAACAAACCGGGGCATTTAAAAAAGGAGAAAAGCAGACAGCTCAGACGTAAATTTGTAATGTTTGTAATAAAAAACAATAAAAAACAACCAAAACTGGGAAGATTTACAGTATGGCCGACCAAGAGACGGTCGGCCATATATGGTAAACTGATTAAATTAAAGTAAGACTTGAAAACCTAACAGTCTCAGCTGTAGCTTCCTGACAGAGGCTGCATCACCAATGAACGCTCTGCTCCAAACCAACCACTAATTTATTCATTTCCACTTTGCTGCTGCAAGCTGTTACTATATTATTTTAATTCTCTTTGCACAATATTTTACATCACTTTCATTGTGTCAATTTGGCTTCTTTGTTCACTATAGTATTAAATGTAGATTATTGTTATTATTTATTTCTAACAATTTTAACTGGGCTGTAAGCCTTTTCTTTAAGGTGTGGTCATATAGAATATAATATCAAGTCTAATACTTCTGCTACTACAAACAATAATAACTTTCACAGTAATTGTTATTGTCATTTTATAACCATGAAAGTAGAAATATTTTAATATTATCTTTATGATCAATAATATAAAAATAATAAAAGCTACATTCATTGCAATTCAAATTTAAAAGTACTGAAAGTCTGAAGTTAAAGTATGAAGAGTATGTCATTTTTTTCATTAAAATAAAAATAAAATATTAATTAGATAACAGGAAAAGATTAATGCCGAGGGGGTAATTTGTTTATTAGATCACTTTCCCTGAATGGTCTAATTAAACAAACTCTTAGCAAAAAGTAGTATACTTGAAGTAAATTCTATTAAGAATACTTAAGTATAAGTTTAGAAAGTATAACAAACAATGTACTGTTTGTGTACTTGAAGTATTACTAAAGTAATACTTCTTCAAACTAAATTGGGACATTTTTAAGTTTACTAAAGTATACTTTTGTAAACAATAAAGTAAACAATAGTATAGTCAAGTACACTTGACTATACTCTTGTTAAGTATATGAAATATAGTTTAAAATAAGTCAACTCTATAAGTGCGCTGCCTGATTTTAAGTAGGAAATTAGTGCACTTTTAGCATACTTGAATAAACTACTTCTTGCTGAGGAAAGCTTTAAAAGTGCGACAGAATGTTGCAATATTGGCTATGAAAATTATATAATTGTTATTGAAAGTAATATAAACACATGTTTATAAGTATTTGGACTCATGATTGTCCCTTTTACCTTTTTTTTTTTTTTATAAGTAAATTATCCAAAATAAATCTAGTTAGAGAAATTAAGTTCTGTTAACATGTCCCTAAAAAAAAATCCACAAGTATATTTTTGAACGGCTCATGAATTGTGGACGGTTTAACTATACGCTCAGGTTGGTGGCACATAAGAATATAAAAACAAATGTTGTTCTTACCGCATCCTACAGATAAAGCCAGGAAAAGCAGCAAAGTTGGCCTCCAGAGAGAGAACTTCATATTGAACACCTCTGACTCTCGGCAGACACAATCTTGACAGACTGTGCTTCATTCTTCCTGTATGTGTTGTAAGAGGAAATGAAAGGCTGCATCATAGTACATTCACGCCCTTTAGGTAGTTTGCGTAGCTTGAACTGGCTCTTCCTGCAGAACAGCCACTTCCTTTGGTTGAAGAAAAGAAAGACACACGCAAATGTCTTAAGTTAAAGCACCCGCACTTTGTTCTGCAATTATCATTTTTTCACAGTACTGTGTTTAAGAGCTATGTGACTCAATATAACTACCACAACGAAATATTAAAACTTTTTTGCCCCCAATAATCATCAAGCGCCGACTTGCTCTGCGTTGCTAGGTAACAACCTAAAAACACGTCTGACCTATTTCTCTGCTATAAGTCAGGAGATCAAATCCACCTTTGTGGGAAACATCAATGCAACAACAGTGTAGCCTGGTGGTGAATTAGGACACATACAGGTTTGTCTTATGATCTGTATTCTTTAAGTATCAGTGGATTAGAACTAGACTTTAAAACTATTTGCTAATAAACATAATTCTGAATTATATCGGTATGTAGAAGAGGTAACATATTATGAGTGTATTCAGTCTTACTGCTCCTGCATTTGTTAGTTAGGATCAATTGCTTTCATTAATACATTTTTTCTATTTTTTTTTTTAATTTATTTTATAAATTCATTCATTAAAAGAAAACAGCATAATAAAACCTGTGCAGGTGCAGAAAGAAATAAAAAAATTATAATATCGTAACGTATATCTGAATGTACATGTCTGAATGTACAGATATAAATGTATATATATTTAAGGTACTAGCTATATATAGAAAGGAGTTTTTTATTAGATTGGAAATCAAATATAGTAGTGGAGTTCTGCTGTGTAAACATCTGCAATGATAAACCAGAATTGTAGAATATAGTCAATAAAGTTGGTTTAAGAGTTTCCATATATTTATTTAGCTAGGTTTTCACAAATTTTTTCGTACATGCATTATTTATAGCTGCATTGGCAACAATTAAACTCAAATGATAGAAGCAAAAATTTGGTTTGTTAGGTATTCAAAAAATAGTATTGGATAACCACAGCCTGAGAGGTTGTAATATAAAAACGCCTTCGCTAGTGTGGAGGAGACAAGAGGGGGGATAAGATCTAGGCTGCTTGAGGTCCAATGGAATGGCTGCATTATAATAATCAAAATGAAAAAAAAAATGTATGCAAAAAATATAACCCAATTTATGTAAATGTATTTCTTATGAATAATTACTTAAATGTATAACTTAATAATTCATAATAAACTAAGATACAGAGTTATCTATTGAAATATAAAAAAAGATCAAATTTCTGGAACAAATTTGCAGTAATAGGTTGACTGATCTGTTCTACTTTGACTTAAGCATTAGGCAAAACAGACAATATTGCCTTATATTACTTTATTGATAGACCCCCTCTTTTGATTGTTTGTTTGTTTATCAGGTAATATTCCTCTAGAACAACACAATCTAACACAATCAGGGCCTCTGCACTATTGCAATCTGCCTTCTAATTTTATGTATTTACTTAAACAAAGAAAGAATTCATACTTCAATACTACTATGATTCTTTTTTTTTTTTCTTTACATACTGTCCTTTTACTCCCTTTAAATATGCTTTTTAAAGAGTTCAGTTGTTGCTTTGGACCGCGGACTTCGATATGAGTCATTTGGAAACCAAAGTCAAATTCCTCATTTGTCAGCACAAACAATGACCATAAGAGCTAAACCACCAAAAATTTACTTGAAATCTGTAAAGTGGGAATGTGAGATATTATTACCTGGCTGCTGTTCCCTTTTGTTATTTTTGCTGCATTGGTAAGTTGAAGGAGCAATGGCAGCCTCGTGATTAGTGCATAGAGCTTGGAATCTTGAGGTTCTGAGTTCAAGCCCCACTCCCACAGACTGCCACTCTGCTTCTCTGAGCAAGATCCTTAAGCCCACACTGCTCCCCATGCACCCAACAATGGCAGCCCACTAAACCCCAAGAGGATGGGTTAAAAGCAGAGATAAATTTCTCTAATGTGAGATCCAGATAAGGTTGAATAATTAACAATGACATTGTATCCTCTCGTATATCGAGAGGCACAGCAGTGCTCTGCCTTGTAGGAGGGATTTCTCTTATATTATATATTCTTAATTGCTTTTATGACACCAGAAGCCCTAAATGCTTCAATTGCTTTTTCTTTTTTATCATTGGTTACCCTAATCTTGATCTTTTTTTAAATTAAGAGTTGTTGTATAAATAACGGCCACAGTGAAAGTTTACTTCTACTTTTATCAAAAGCTGAACTTGTACATAAGTCATGTCAAGTTTTACTTTCGTTGCTATTTAGATCCAGCAATATTAAATTTGTAAGTTAACACATATTGCATATTGACTATTTGTGATTGGAAATGGTAAATTCTAATCAAACTATTTTTCTTCTTATGTTCCTGTACATATTATAGCTTCATATGATTAGTAATATATCAATTGCTAGTGCTACATTTTCAAGTTTGCACTCTAAACCATTGTTTTTTTTTTAGGTATGCATTGTCTAAGTCTAATAAAAACTTTGCAAAAATATTATTTAGGTCTTATATCCTCCACCAGAAAGGAGAACATTAGGGGATTTTTTGGTTATGCCAGGTTGCCATAAAGTTAAGCACAGATATATAAAAATCTTTACTGAATTTATAAGCAGCATCTATTCGTTTTAGCTGTCAGTTTTTAGCTATCAAGAAGACTGAGAAGGTGAACCAAACAAGAGAAAAACAAATTATTAGACTTCCCTGAACATTCATGTCATCAATTGTTAGCTGTTTATTGGTTTCCTTTAAAGTTATTTTACTTTGCTGAGCTTTGGATTGTTTTAAATTTGTTTCATTTTTGCTTTGTTTCTTTTTTTCTTGCAAAAAGTGGAATATTGGGTAAATTAGGGGAAATCTACTCAGCTCAATAGAAGAGGAAGTGTTGAGAAACAGCATATGAATCTTCCTCACAGAACAGGAATAGGAAGTATGATGAGGACAGACGAAAAAAAAAAAAACGAATTCTCATCTCAACCCGTCACAACTGCTCTGAGCGTGAACCACAAAGGTTTGTTTTTCTCCTCTCTCTGTCTGAGCCTTCAGATGTTCCTAAAGGTGCGGACTGCTTTTTTTCTGTGAAAACCGTATTTCTGTGGAAATTGCTGGTGGGAAATAAGATGAGTGGCTCCCTGGAGAGGACGACAGACTGTCCGGTGTTGCCACTTGCAGATGGGCCAACTCTGACTGACGACAAAGAGAAGCCTGGAGGTGGAACTGAGCTATGTTGGCAAGATGGAGGCCTGGCTGTGGAGCTGCAGAGAGGGATGGAAACATTGCGGGTGAACAGAGAACTGACCGATGTGACCCTCTGTGTTGAAGGGAAAGACTTCCCCTGCCACAGGGCTATTCTGGCTGCTGCCAGTCAGTACTTCAGGTAAATAAAAGTCAGTTTATGAGTGAAGGTATTGCCAGGGACTTCTGGCTTCACCAACCCAATGTTTGTCCGAACAGGGCCATGTTTTGCAGTGGACTCAAGGAGACTCACGAGAAGCGTGTGGAAATAAAAGGCTTAGACAGCGGGACCATGCGCTCTCTCTTGGAGTATACCTACACCAGCAAAGCCCTACTCACACACTCAAATGTTCAGGGAATACTGGAGGCAGCCAGCCAGTTTCAGGTACATCAGCTTGAAATTTTATAAAAGTACATAAATGTTAACGTTGAATGATTTTCACATGCAGGGTGGTTTTCCCATGTTTGACCTTTTAAAAAATACATAATGCCATCTACTGCAGGGTTCCTCATTTCAGCCAAGTATTAGGTTATCCCAGTTGTTGCTGCTTTAACATTCAAGTTATTTTCTATGCTCTATGTTTTGGCTGTTGTAAGTAAATTTAGCCATGCAATCCCTATGAACCTTATATAATAAATTCAGTTTTATCAGTGGTCATAATCTTTCAAATAAAATAAAAGTAAACTAGATCAAATGGAATCAGGATTTTAAAATGGAAACAAGGTCAAACACAAGGCAAAGTTTTCATGATGATACACAATTGATTTAAAGAATGTATAAGGTTTGAGCATTTTGTGATCATTCATCTTTCCTAACGCAAAGGAATTATTAGAAAACACTGGAAAAAATATAAATTTTGTACATGTCTGTTTGTGCTCTTTAAGTGTTAATTCCACATGAGGAGCTTACCTGTTTTAAGCTTTTAAAATGCTTACTTATTTTTGTTCACTGTTATTTTTTATAAGTGCAGTTTAAGCCAAATATAAGTCGGAACCTAGCGATGTAATACACACTGCAGATAAACAACCAAACAATTTTTTTTTTTTTTTTTAGCATTTTATTATAGTTTATCTTGAACTTAAAACATAAATTGCAATAAAAAAAAAAAAACAGGGTTTAAGGAAGTATGTGTGAAACGGTTTGATTTTTTGTTAACTCTTAGTAGGAAAGGTCAAAATGTCAATGCTTGATTATAAAATAAAGGTTTAAAATAGTGAATGGACGGGACTTGAAATGATAAACTAAACAAGACAACCCAAACTTTTTGAGAACTTACAGCTCTGTAATAAAAGCTTTAGGTTAGGAGATTTAAATATGCCTATCTGAGCTGATCAAAGTGGATTTTAAGTAGTTTCAATATTGATAGATTTTTTTGACAAGTATCTTTTGTGTGGGTAGAGAAACAAAATCATTATTATCTCTTTAAAGCTTTTGATAACCCCAGATGTTATTTTTGACCACATGATTGACCCAATAGTATGTTATTTAGAAAAGCTGCTGCCCTATAGCACAAATTTAACAGAAAAAAATACATTCAGAAAAGCTGTAGCCCTGAACATTAATGCTGCATTAAACTAAGCTATCTTCTCATTCCACCTGTGGAAGACGCACAGTAAATGGGGTAAGACTTCAGTCACTCTGAGAGGGAAGTGAAAGTTGGCTGTTGTTTACAACTTGGATCAGTTTTCCATATAGGTTTAAATTTATTGCACAGCTGTGCCGTTCAAGGGAGGAGGCAGGTGTTTGTGTTTTTGTGTTTCTATTTTTGCAGCAAGCAATTTGTACGTTACAGTTTGAAAAAAAGAAAATAAAAAAACAAGCATTTGGCAGGTTTTTCTAGCTCTTTAAGGGGCACAAACTTAGTGTAACCATTAAGTGTGGTTAGAGTTAAAATCACACAAGATTTAGAAAGCAATATAATCTATATCTGGAGTGAATTATTAAAGATGGATAAAATCATGAACCACATTAGGGCAAATTAGAAATAATTTTTATTGTATTGATCAGCCTAACAAATCAGTTTCATATTTGATAAAATGTATTATTATGGGCAAAGTTCATTTTTCTTTTGTTTCAGTGATGACAAAGGTTTGTAGTAGGACATTAGATAAAGTTAACTTGAAAAAAATGACATTTGCAACCCGGTTTCCATTTCGTTGGTAAATACGTACCTCCAGCTATTTATATACTAAGATAAATGACTAAAGTTATTACGGTTCTGGAAATTCATAGAAAAGCTTATAAAGCTCTGAGACCCTAATGACAGAACCATATATAGACTCAAGTGCTGAAAAACACAGGCGGAAATAAGACAGGCACATTGGTGGGCAACTGTATGGAAATAAAATCACTGTTTCCATGTAAAGCGAAATTCAGCAAACATAACAGTTAAGTGGTGGAAATCAGGGCTCCAGTATTTCACCAAACAATTATAGAAAGGTAAATATTTGTTCTTTATCATCATTACCTGAAAAATGTCTGAAATACTAAAAACACAGAAATGTGGTGGGTGAATAAACTAGGAATTTGTGGTATATAGAAATAATATTTATTTATTTCTATTCATTTTTTTTTTTTACGTTATTGTACTGTACCTGTGGGAATGAGAGATTATTTTACAACTAAACTTTATGCATAGGTAAAAAAAAAAAAACAATATGTATTACAAATTGATGTGTTATCAATCAACATATTCTCATTATTTCATACAAACTCATAATGAGAATACACTGTATCAATATGTATTTTATCTAAAAATAATTAGTTTAGTTTTAACTGGTCTGAGGTGGCGCGGCAGTGGTACAGTGGTTAAGCGTTGGTCCTCAATGCTGCTTTCACATGTTCACGTCCTAGTGAACTTTGCCGCATGTCTTCCCCCTTTCTTTAATCCCATTTGCTATCTATCTAATGTACTTTCTAAAATAAAGGTCACTAGAGGCCAAAAGACAGTTTTAGAACGGCTTTATTATGACCATAAATTTGAAGAATTCCAGTGTGCAAACTTGTCACGGTTGACTTTATTTCAAGAAGTGCATTTTTATGGAGGCCAGCTTTAAATCTGTACAAACCAAACTTAAAGGTGAGCCCCATCAGACAACATTGGCATGGATTTTTCCTGCTTGAGCTCATCCATTTGATAATAGTTTGATTATTTCTAGCTGTCCACAAGCAGTACGCACACCTCTTCACCATTCACATAGCAATAACTTTAATCCAAGTAGAACAAACAGACTGACATCTAACATCCTTTTGCCCAAGAGTAGAGCTGTACCCACCCATGAAAAAGCTGTCAGTATGCTACCAAAGCCCTAATGGAATTTCAACTGCCACTGTGGAGTCATGCTGATTTCTTAGGTAGAGTGTTCTTAACGATTTGACTCCAAGAGATGAAAGAGTTGTTGTGGTTTTATCCTAATTATTACTGTATTAATGAATGTTGTATACAGTATGTGTCAGCTGGGACTGACCGTAAAATAAAGGAATGTATTCTTGTTTTTCAGTTTCTCCGTGTGGTAGACGCTTGTGCAAGCTTTTTGAGCAACTCTATTCACCTCGAAACCTGCGTAGGGATCCTAAATCTGGCCGACCGCCACGCTCTGCCCATGCTGAAGTCCAGGGCCCAGGACTTTATCACCTCCCAATTCTCTCAGGTGGTCCAGCAGCAGGACTTCCTAGAGCTGCCGAGCGAGTCTCTGGAGGCCATCTTGCAGAGGGATGACCTTGATGCAAAGTGTGAGGAGTGTGTCTTTGTAGCTCTGATGCACTGGGTAAGAGCCAAGCAAGATGAACGCTATCCATTTCTGGCAAGCTTGCTTTCGCATGTGCGGTTGCCACTGTTGGAACCGTCATACTTTGTGGAAAAAGTTGAGTCCGATGAGTTGATACGCCGCTGCACCGAGGCTTTCTATTTGCTACAAGAGGCCCGCATGTATCACCTTTCCGGTAGAGAGGTTGGTATCCACTAAATGTTCACAAGCAATCTTTCCATGACCAAAACCATTCCAAGCTTTGGAAACTCTATCTTTGTCATTGACCTGTTTATAGGTGGTCTCAGAGCGAACCAAACCACGAGTGCAGCACTTTTTGTCAGAAGTTTTTTTGATCATCGGAGGATGCACTAAAGATGAGCGCTTTATTTCCACTGTAACCTGCTTGGACCCTCTGAGACGCAGCCGTCTGGAGGTGGCCCGGCTGCCAATGACAGAGATGGAAGATGAGTCCCAGAACAGGAAATGGGTTGAGTTCTCTTGCATAACTTTCCACAATGAAGTTTACATATCAGGTAAGAGATCAATTTACAAACTTCTTATATACCGTATATAAAAAAAGAATCAAACATGATTCCACCATCAAGTTTTTTTTAGATTGGAGTTCTTGCTCCATGTTACATTATTAAACTGTAACTGAGATGTGATGTGATGGCTGTACTGATAAATTCAGAGTTTACCAGAGAACGAAACAAACAGGAAGATGAGCTATCATCTGCAGTAACAGTTATTGTGGTTTAAGGCGTTTCCCAGCCTGTAGAACTGACATTTCAGCTATTGTTATTTTAACTGCTAAGAATCACACTATGCAACTGTTAAGACAAGGTCACTGAGCTGTTGATACTAAACACTCATAATAACACAACACAATACTGGAATACAGGCCAGAAGAACTGGCCTTAACCATATCCCATGATTAATCAGTGCTCAGAGGGACAAGAAGTCTAAGTGGAAGTTGACATTTTTCTCATATGATTTCGTAAGGTGGTAAAGAAACCCAACATGATGTTTGGAAATATAACGGGGCCCTGGACAAGTGGATCCAAATTGAGTCGCTGTCTAGTGGACGCTGGAGACACAAAATGGCTGTTCATGGTGGGAAAGTCTACGCACTGGGTGGATTTGATGGGGTTCAAAGACTTGCCAGTGTGGAATCCTATGATCCTTTTCACAACCGCTGGACACAGGTAATACAATTGTAGTTCAAAACTGTCCTTGTTATCCCTAAGTTCCCTTTTACACTGGGATCATACCATACAATGTTAAAAATTCCCTTGAACATGAATAGTCTTTGTTGAGGCTAAATAAGCTCTTCTGGGGTACATAAAACTTTTATGAGGGTTTATTTTTGTAATAGAAGCAAACAGTGTCAAAATAATTCCCATTTATAAATGTGTTCTGTTTTTGCATTTCTGTCATACCTAAACATTTCAGATAAATAAAATTTTATATCAGACCAACTCAGTTCAAAAAGCAGAAAATACATTACTTAACAAGCCTCCTTAAATCATGAGCTCTTTCAGAATGAAGAAATTGCTTAATCAGAACCTTTCTGACAACATGAAATCACCTAAAGGTCTCTAAAAGAAAGATATGGCTGGATATTTAGAGATAAAAAAGATTAAGAAATAAGTCTAGCAACTTTGATCAAGATACAAAACAATTTAGAACTACAGTGAGAGTTATTATTCTGAAAACATGGTGATTAACATTGTCAGGTACAAACCACAGCAACAGCTTAAATGACTTGGAGCCAACTTTTTAAGCAAAGCAAGACATTTTAGCTTGTGGCCTTCCCCATTAATTTGCAGCAGTAAACCTTTCCAAAGTGGATCAGCTATGAATATTACTTAAAGAACACATAGATCACTCATGCAGAAGGTTACAGGAGGACAAAAACAACATCTATGGCCTTGTAGGCTTTACTTGACCCCATTAAGAGGAACTAAATCATGCAGCAGGGAATTCCAGTGAAAACCATTGCTAAACAAAGAAAACAAAGGTCTGTCTTCTATTTACCTAAATAAGCCCTTGTAGATCTAAAAAAAAACGCTAAAAAAAAACGCTATTGGTGAGATGTTATGAAGTTTTTGACTGGTCTGCATCATCTTATATTGGGTGTGAAATGAACACAACATTTTAAAGAAATTACATCCCACTGAAGGTCAAACATCATGGTGGTAGTGTGGCGATCTGGGGCTTCTTTGGTTCTCCCAGAAATGTCAACTTTCAGTAATTAATGAAACCATGAATAACTGGAAATGCTTTAAGGAAAAGCTCCAGCCATCGGTTTCTGACCTCAAACTCAGATGAATTATGATTCGAAGTACATCTGCTGAATGACTCGGTTAGATTTAAAACCAATTAAGATGCAGCAGCTTAAACTTAAACAATTATCACAATCATGCATACATTAGGTTTAAGGACCATCCATAATATTTCTCTTATATTTATATTGCTGCCATATGGTTTGGATAGTTGTTGTTTTTCTAATTAAGAAATAAAACAGGACTTTTTTCATTTCTCAGATCATCTTTGTTTAATATTTGTTCAATAGATCCACTTGTTTGTTTGCATTAAGGTAACCTGATTATTATCAAATTAAAACCAAGGACCTTTATGCATTTGAAATAAAAAGTATTTTAGGTAAATATACTTTTTAAATTTCAAATTCATTAACCTGACAGTTATGTATTTGAAATAAATAAACTATATTATATTAATGAATATGCATCATGGTAAGTTTTTTTAAGTAGGTGTGTTTTAATTTTCTAACAAAAAGATAAATGGAAATTTGAATTAAAATTACATAAATATTAAAATTTGGGTGAAATATTGTTTTTTTTAAACTATCTCATTTACCTACTCAAATCAAGGGTAATACACTTAATTTAAGAAATTTTTACTTATTTCTAGGTCGTTTTTCTAGTGAATGAAATAGACTTCTGTCTCAATCTATTTCACATTTTTTCATTTTACTGAATTGTTCTTGCTCAGTAGCCTTTTTAATTTTTTCTCTACAGGTGACACCTCTCGCAGTGGGTGTCAGCTCTTTCGCCGCAGCAAGTTTTGACAGATGGATCTATGTGATTGGTGGCGGGCCTAATGGAAAACTAGCCACGGATAAAGTTCAGTGCTGGGAACCAGGAGCAGACAGCTGGGAACTGCGAGCGCCCATCCCCATCGAAACCAAATGCACCAATGCTGTGACATTTAAGAACTGCATTTACGTTGTGGGTAAGTATGAAGTGTAAAAATAGTTTAATTCTACCTAAAATACAAATGATATAATGCAAGATTTGCCAAATCTGGTGTCTGATCAAAATAGACACCCAGACAACATTTTATCTTTTATGTAAAATATGTGGCTATTTGATTTTGGACATTCTTCACTATCTGTCCCTATTAAGAAAGGACTCCCAATATCAAAGTCGGCAGGGAAAATTTCACTGCAAATATCATGATTTTTATTTGCAGCTCAGTCACAGGCATATATTAACCAGGGCTGCATTCCACTAAAAGGAAGTTCTGTTTTTGCATAAGCACTACAGGATAACCAGCGTGCAAATTTGCAAAAGTGGAACACAGCCATTGTATCAGGAAAGGCAAACCCTTATCTTGGCGGCTCTTTGCCAAACCACATTCTCTGCAAATCTTACAGCAGCAAGAGTCCATGCATTGAGACATCTTACTTTCAAATCCAGAAACATAACCAGACTAAACATTTCATATCAAAAGCATCATTTAAAAGTATGTAAACAAACAAGGTTTATACCTGCTGCAAGGGACTTTTCCTACAGAAACTCCTAGGATAGATCATTATTTAAACACTTCCTATTTCAAATAACTAGGTATCCATTTTTAAACACATTTGGGGTGCTTAATCAAAATAAAGTCCTAATGTAAATGTATTTTTTGCGTCAACATTTGCTGTTTCTATTATTGCATTAATATTTCTATTGGCATTCTGTTTGAATTTTGAAATATGTTTTATTCTCTTTCCCAGTAGAGAATAAATTCACAGATTAATTGAAGTGTAGCTTTTTGTAGACAGGATATTTTTGTACCTCTATCTTTTACATTTTGTGAGTATATTACAGTACAATGATTATTGCCCTTTAAGGTTTTTCCACATTTTGCAGCACTACAGGAACAAGCTATGTTGTAATAAGAAAAAAATCTGATTGGCCAATGGAAAATATTGCGTTATAGTGAAGTGGAGATACAAAATTACAAATCTTGAGACTCCTTGTAATATTTATCAGAAAGTAAACAGTGCATTATGTTCCTTTCACCCTTTTACCACTAAATAGAAGCTTAAACCAGCCAAAGTCAGGTCCGGGAGAAAATTGGGGAGAAATTGTAAGCCGTATTAACTTTTAAAATGATATCCGAGCTTTGAGCATTTCACTGAGCACTCAACAGATTATTTAAAAATGAAAAGGAATGGCTAAATGCAAACCTACAATGAGATTTTTTTCAACCTAAAATCTACTACCTAACTTTTATGGAGGATTGACAGAGATCCACAGCTCAGGTGGGATTATCTCTTGATTTCCTTCAGCTGCAATTCAGCTAGCCGCTGGCGATTTAGGACTTCAAGCAAACATGTGAAAGAAGGTCCTCTGGTCATATGAGAACAAAATTTTAGCATTTGGCCGACATACAAAAGCTATTATGTAGCAGAAAATGAATATCCTAAACACATTATGACCCCTGGGAGAACAGCTGGGAGAGACAGCTACAGTAAATCACTGTTAGCTCAAGAGGCTGCATACTAACCATTTTAGAGTTTTATATGCACAAAAAAGAGATGGTCTAACATTTTTCTTTCAGTTCAGAATTATGTATAGGTTTATCATATTCAGCTAAATGAGTTTTTATTATTACATAAGAAAGTGTGACAAAATTCAAGGGGTATAAATAGTTCTTTAAGGCATTTCTTTATTTAATCAGAAATCCATTTGTGACATTAATTAACAAATGGCTGTTCAATTCATATTATTTATATCCTATTTAGTTGGAGGCACAGAGGACAGGAAACAAATGCAGAGAAGGACAGAAACAAACATTTAGGGCCTCTTTTATTTTTATTTATTTGAAGTTTGGTGGCACTTGTGGCCTTTCTTTGAAAGTAGACAGACAGGAAAGGGGGTGGAGATTTTTGAGAACTTGGGACGGCGGTGTCAAACACTAAGGCCTACGTATAAAGGTTGCATACTCTACCGCTGCACCTTTGCTGTAACCTTCAGGAGCACATTTTAACTAAAAATGAGACATAGTGAAACACATATAGTCCAATTATTACACAAACTGATGAGCTAAGATTGAAAACTAGTAAATGCTTTTGATTCATTAAGACTGAAGTCACTGATTTCAGTAGCATGTATACATTTTTACAAATCTTTGTGTTTCCAGGTGGAGCCATGCATGCCATGTACTGCTACTCTCCTCTGTCTGACTCCTGGTCTCTTGTGACCCGTCTGGGGGAGAGGGCAAGCTGTGCCATCGCGGCATGCAACAACAAACTTTTTATCACTGGGGGAAGGGACAACAAGAACCAAGTAATCTCCACAGTGATGTGCTGGGACGTTGATCGAGGGGTGTTGACAGAGGAGTGTGTCTTACCGCTGGGGGTGTCCCACCATGGCAGTGTGACACTCATGAAATCTTACACACACATTCACAGAGTCCCGCCTCCGTCAGAGTGCCAGTGAAAAAGACTTTGGTGAATTGGACTTTATTTTTGATACAGCAAAGAAAAGAATGAAATGAAGCAGGAAAAGTACATTGTTTTTATTCACTTGCCACTTTGAAACATTGCTGTGTTTATACTAATGTAAGCAGTCAAACTTTAAAAAAAAAAAAAATGTTCTTTGATTTTTTTGTTATCTTTATCTTTTATGTTTTCTGATGGATAACCAATGTCTAAATGTTACTTTAGCATTAAAAATGCATCTTAACACATTAGGTAATTGAAAAGAAATTTATCTTAGCATTTTAATTAAAGAGCAATTTTCCCTTTCTTTTAAAAAAGAGGTCCTGAGTAATGAATCACACTTGAACTTTTGAAGAAAACTTGAGTTTTGAATCAATAGGCTACTATAAAAACATTTACCGTATGTGGTTTATTGTAAAACTGGGGACTAACTGTTTTATTTGTTTTGTTTTTAGATTGGAGGACAAAGAAAAACATCAAAATTTTATAAGAAATTAAGATATACGCTTTCTTATGGTAATATTAATTTGAAAATATGAAGTCATTTTGTTTTGTAAAATACTATTATTGATGTAGAAGAGAATACCCAACTAAAACAAAAAAGTTAAATACTAAAGCATTGATTTCCAGCCTTACAATGATGATAAAATGTGTTCATTGTACCACAAATGCCTATCTGATGCTGGAATTTCATGCAGATATTGTAAACAACGCATTGGTAAAATGTGTTTAAAATAAATAATAAAACAATTGCCTTTTTCTTCATAACTGGGCACGCCCTTAGGACATAACATGATCATAGTGCAACTTTATTAAAAACACTGTTTTAATAATATAACATCCCCAAAACTATTGTTTTTTTTTTTTTGTTTTGTTTTACATAGCAAGATTTCTATTAATAATATTTCCCTCTCTAAGCATCCTATTTATTAAAATATTCATTATTAAGATCATTACTGCAAGATTTACGTTTTTCCATCATTTTCTAAAATTTGATATTCTGGTATGTTTTAAAAACCCCGTTGCTTAAAAATGTGATGACTAAAATCAGACGTTTTTTTTACTTAAACCCATAGATTTAAGTGGAGAAAACTACTGATAGCAGCTGAAGTGTTGTGCTCTGTAGAATAAAAAAACAACAACTGTGTTTTTGTCTGTAAACTAATCAAAGTGGTTCTGCAGATGGAACTTTTTGTGAGCCTTATCTTCCAATATAAACGGTGGTAATCTTTTCCGACAAGGACGAATAGTAAAGCTGGAAAACAGCCGGATGTTCAAATTATCCGCTCGTGAAGACTTTCAAACTAAAAGTAGCCTATTTTATTTATCTTGTTGAGAAAATGCATATTTAAATTTCGCTAACTATATTAAAATAAAGTAGAAATAAAAGAACATATTCGGCACGCAATTTTTTGGCTTTAAACCACTACTTTTCCCGATGCAAGTGTTTCAAAGTTAGCACTATTAAAGTGAAATAATTGCTCTATTTCCGGTGTAAAGTCTGCCCGGAAGCTCAGGTGGATAGGTAGAAAATCTTTCGCAGGTGTTTCCTTTGAAAGCTCCTGGGATTTATACTTAAATTGGTTTCTACGATTTATTTTCAGACCAGCCCATAGTGGCTTAACTTAAAATGTTTGAGATTTTACGAATCCGTGCGTAATTTACTTGGAAAACCTCTCCTGTCGCCTACCTGAGATTGAAGCAAAGTGAAAGTCAAACTATGCCTTCAGTTGAAACTCCACCAGGTGTTTTCCGAATTTCTATTCGGGGTTTTCTCGTCTTTTTCACTCTTAGCGTCTGTTTGGGTAAGTTTTGCTTTAATGGAAAATTCCTTTTAAAACTATCTTGGTATTTCTGTAAACAGAGTATACCAAGGACAGTGGTTTGTAAACCAGACCAATAGAATAACACACTCCTTTGGTTTCGAGCTTGGTTTAGCCTAATTGTATTACCTGTGTTGATTTCACTTTTAGTAGTTCTATGTCGTTTCGAGTACATAATCATATACATTGTATTATGATTCATTAAATATGGCTTAGGTATCAGGTTTCCTTTTACTTATGTAAATATAACAAACCACATTAATCTACCATCGACTATAATGTGTTGGTTGTATTTATGTGCCATCCTTAGAGTAATCTTAACTCAAATAAACTCACCATGGGCCAGGAATGGAGTTGTATTGAGATTAGCAGTACTTGGCAACAGGCCATGTAGAGGATGCAGCAAATGTGTAGAAAATGTGCTTGGAGGGGAGACTAAAACTGAACATGTTGGTTCTGTAAAATGCTGTCTGGTCGAAAATTATACCACAGCACTTACTTTGGAAATTCAAACATTTTGGTAAGACAGGGTGATGGCAGTATCATGCTGTGGTAATACTTTCTTCAGCATGGAGAAGAAAGCTTCTCCGGGGCTATGTAAAGATGTTTGATGTGAAATTCGGGTATTTCTGGAAGAAAAATGGTTTGAGTTGGCAAATACTTTACAATGATTTGGATGCTCACCTTGTTACAGAAAATGAATCATAGATCCAGAGCTAAGATAATGCATGCTTTTCTGACACATTGTTTGATCTAAACTACTGCCGAACTTGACTGAAATCTAAAATCCGTTTAAATCAAAGCTTAACTTAGTGTAAAAACAAGGGTCAAGCATTTTCAGGCTTTAAGGCTGAAGAACACTGATGCATTTGTACTCATCTCTTACAAATACTCACATGATTGCAGTAGTGTTTAATTTTTTATGTTTTTTTTTTCTTTTCTTGAAATCTTCATTCATCTCCTTTGTTGTCCACATTCACAATGGAAAGAATGTTTCCTCACTGAGCAACAAACCAGTCCACCAACTTTGAATGAATCTGACAACTAGAGTGATCTGAGTAATTCTACAAATGAAAGTATAGTCTGCCTTTCATTGGAAGTTAGAAAACAATAAGCTTAACTGAAGAAAATAGTAAATTCTGAAAGACAGAGCAGACTGTATGTGCTATAATTCTTGAGGAGGTTGTGTTTCTTTAAGTGTTACAGTGATTAGGGCAATTTCTATTTCCCTGCAGCTACATGCCATCTGTCACCAATTTCAATTTGCCAGACAAGAAGGCGATCAGCACCAAAAACATGTTGGGTCAATTAAGTAAAACCAGACCACCCATTCAAAGAAATACTGTTTAATGGAGGGTGTGATATCTCTCTTTTGGTAATAGCAGCAATGCAAGAAACATAAAGTGTTGATGATGGGATATTGATTTAATGTAATTTTGCAACTAAATCATGCAGCAGGACATACCAGGTGGTCAGTAGTCTAGTTGTTAAAAAAGGGGGATTGATACAGTCTGCTAACCTAAAGCAGTATGCATAGTATGGTTTTTACATGTCAGGTACGTTGGTCATTGACCTTGACCGTGGCACCTTACAGTAGAACAGCAGTCTTTCCCTGGACTGGCATGGCTATCAATGCTTTTACAAATTTAGGGACTAATGCAAAGGACAAATTTCCCACTGGGATTAGCTTTATAGTCATAGTAGGCCACTTATTTTATTTTATTTATTTTGCTCAGGCTAAGCCCACAGCCCCCCAAATGTCTAAATGGCAATATTATTGCCACTACTGTTAATGTATAGTAGAAATTTTACACATTCAATGATAAAATGTTCATTTAAGAAGGAGGCCATTTTTTTTTGTTTGTTTTTTTTTTAAGAACGGGGATGCCACCCCCCCTTATCCCCCCTCAACTCGAGTACTGTAGGCGGTACTGAGTTATTACGAATCAAACAGGCTTATTTTTAATACAAATATCCTGCATTATTAGCTCCACAGCAGCCCTCTGATTATTAACTGGTTAGAAACCCATGTCTGTATGGTGACATCAGAGGGAGAACACTTTTGGTGCTTGCTCTACATTCTGTAATGGAGATGGATGGAAACGCTGATGGTTGTCCCACAACCCGTTCAGGTCAGAACCTTCCAAAACAGACAGACCTCTAGCTCAGTGGTTCCCACAAGGGGTTATGTGTACCCCTAGTGGTCCATAAGTGCATTGCAAGGGGTACATTAAAGGAGAAGTTCGGTTTTTTACACTTTAAGCCCATTTTCTGTAGTGTCCAGGATGAAAT